ATCTATCTATCTATCTATCTATCTATCCATCCATCCGTATGTATGTCTGTCTATCTGTCTATCTATCTATCTATCTATCTATCTATCTATCTATCTATCTATCTATCTATCTATCTATCTATCTATCTATCTATCTATCTATCTATCTATCTATCTATCTATCTAATCTATCTATCTATCTATCTATCTATCTATCTATCTATCTATCTATCTATCTATCTATCTATCTATCTATCTATCTATCTATCTATCTATCTATCTATCTATCTATCTATCTATCCGTATGTCTGTCTGTCTATCTATCTATCTATCTATCTATCTATCTATCTATCTATCTATCTATCTATCTATCTATCTATCTATCTATCTATCTATCTATCCATCCGTATGTCTGTCTATCTATCTATCTATCTATCTGTCTGTCTGTCTGTCTGTCTGTCTGTCTGTCTGTCTGTCTGTCTGTCTGTCTGTCTGTCCGTCCGTCCGTCCGTCCGTCCGTCCGTCCGTCCGTCCGTCCGTCCGTCCGTCCGTCCATCCATCCATCCATCCATCCATCCATCCATCTATCTATCTATCTATCTATCTATCTATCTATCTATCTATCTATCTATCTATCTATCTATCTATCTATCTATCTATCCATCCATCCGTATGTCTGTCTATCTATCTATCTATCTATCTATCTATCTATCTATCTATCTATCTATCTATCTATCTATCTATCTATCTATCCATCCGTATGTCTGTCTATCTATCTATCTATCTATCTATCTATCTATCTATCTATCTATCTATCTATCTATCTATCTATCTATCTATCTATCATCCATCCATCCATCCATCCATCCATCCATCCATCCATCCATCCATCCATCCATCCATCCATCCATCCATCCATCCATCCATCCATCCATCCATCCACATACCCACCAAGATATGTAAAAACAAAGCTCTTTTTACAGATTTTGCAGTCTTTATTCGTCATCTCTCTGTTCTCTGCTTCCCTCTTCAGGATCGTATACTGAGTCCTGTGGATCAATGTATGTGAGAAACACCATCGCCAGGTCCATTTCTCTGCGGGACGGAGGAGTGTTGTCCCATCCTGATAGAGTCTTCATCACTGCGGACACACAGAGGGCGTTAATGGTGCGACACACTATCTGCATCTCATCGTCTATTGCTGGAAAGACAACACATGACAAGTTTGACTGTTAAAGTCAATCCGTTTCGACTTCTCAGTATATAAATTCTTGATATCAGCGATTCAAATGTTTTTCACCCACCAATAAACGTCCAGTGAACCATTAATGTGACTATTTTTAATTTCATGAGGTTTCTTTTTCAGCACTGATGCTGTAATGTAATTAGAATATAATCCGAGGGTATAAATTAATTGTTAATAAATAATTAAGAGTAAAGCCTAGAGGGGATACAGCTGCAGATACTCACAATATCTTTAACTTGTCTTTAAAACTATCAATAACTTTCAATATAGTTCACATCAACAGTTGTGTGTCCTCCTCATCAGGTGATGCTGCGTCTGCTGTGTCAGTCAGAGGGCGTGTCTGCAGTCATGATTCCAGACCCCGCCCCTCACACTCTGACACGCCTCCTGGACCATGTGGGCATAGCGTCAGTGTCCTTTCGTCTGCAGGAGACGAGTGGGTGGAGCATAGACAGGGCGGAGCTAAACAGAGCTATACAGGCCTCCAGGGGGCGGTGCTCTCCTCGCGCTATTTACATCAGTAACCCTGGCAACCCTACAGGTACAGGATGATGGTTATAATAGGTCATTTAAAGGATGAATATTGATGATTGTAATGCGCATATGATTCAGCCTGTTACATTTTAAAAGTCCCACTAATTTTGAGATTTTTTTTTGCCCTATTTACATGATTTATATGTTGAGATAACAAATCATAATTCATAAATTTTAATTCCGTAATGAATTAAAGTTTCTCACATAACTTGTGTATAAAAGGTTATATAAATGTATGTGCATACGATTGCTCTTTCTTTTACAGCTTTTCTCAGTGGCTTTGGTGCGTTTTGTTGCGCAATTGTAACAAAACTATTGTGCAAATGTAAATAGTGTTGTGAGAAATGCACCAAAGCCACTGAGAAAAGCTGTAAAGCAATTGTTTTCAATTTTTTTCACAAATTATTTCAAATTAAATTTGATTTACAAATAAATGCATATTCTTCGTGTATATTTTACATAGTAAAATTTGAACTAATCATTATTTAATTAAAAAATTGTGTAGTGTGTGTGTGTATATATATAGCTGTATATCGGCACTGGTGGAACATGATATACAGCCATATTGCACTGCTACGAGTGTTATATTCCATCATTTATTCACATCTGCAGCTGATGTCAGAACAGCCGAAACCGCTGCTCATTCACCAACGTCACGATAGAGCTAGTGTTTGAGTGATTCTCTAGCGTAATGTCTAAAGTGATGAAAAAAACAGCTGACTTTGCTCACATTTTAGATTATAAGGCTGAACAGCATGAAATGCCATCAGTCTACAGAGATTTCCCAGTAAAAGCAGGGCTCGAAATTGCGACCATTTTGGTCGCATATGCACCCTAAATTTAAGCTACGCGACCCCATAATATATATTGGGAGCATTTGTGCGACTGCATATAATGGTTGTAGTGTGACCTGTTTTTTTTTTTTTTTCCTAAAAACGTGGTAAAATCGCTCTTCCCTGCCGCTATATTGGTTCATATTAGCTGTCAATCACTCAAGACTTTCCGTTGTCAGATGACAGGGAGGGAGCTTTTGTGACTGCGGGGAATGCAAACGGCGGAATAGTGAAAAGTACACTGACTCTCAATGCGTTGCATGCACTGCGTGTTCAGCCAACACAATCTCATGGCAATTCGTAACATTTTCATATGTTTCCTCGTGAGATCAGGGTGCAACAGCGCAAAATGTCCGCTAAAACACCATCGCCAAAGAAGCTTGCCTTTACTGAGTTTAAACTGATGCGGGTTATAACAGAGAACAGTATTGCGCCGGTGGTCATCGGGAGAATCCTGCTCTGCCCCCCTCATATATTGGGCCGGCTGACTCGCATGCTTTTCCGCAAACACAGACAAATGTAATTCAGCGCGTAACGAGGCTGAGCATTAAAACGACACGAACCGAAACCAAAACTTTTAAAAGAGAGACTTTTCTTCCTTTCTTTTGTCCGTTCTTTCTTGAGGTGTATATTATTTTTCTATTTAATTACTGATGACGGCTTTGCTGCTTTCAGCATTGGATTAAATGATTTATTATATTATTTCGTTTGTTTTGTAGCAGAAATATTATTTATTAAATTGACATGCATATTAAAACAATAGTACAAAATAATATTTCTAACTACAATGCTTAATTTGTGTTTGATGCAAACCATCAATTTATTTTTCATAAAGTAACAGTAGGACTTTATATAGCAGATAACTTACATTAAAGCACATTCAAGGCAGCATGATGATGAGAAATATAATTCATTTTTAGTATTATTGTCATCATCATCGTCATCATTGATATTTTATAATTATTCAACATTCATTTTGGAGTTATTGCACAAATATTAAGTCATCACAGCATTAGTTAGATAGTTGTTTCTGGGTTTTGTTTGTCCCAATTAAAAACAATAAATCCCTTAATATACAACTTGTCAAATATATCATTCATTTTTGGTGGGTGCTCCTAAATTTTTTTCCTGGTGCTCCTAAATATTTCAGGTTGGGAGCACCGGTGCTACCAAGTAAGAAAGTTAATTTCGAGCCCTGAAAAGCCAAAGAAAAGCAAAGACAAGTAGATTACTGTGGTATAAATACAGCACTACAACATACAACGAGAGAGATAAACTTAGAGGTGTCACTTACCTGATTAATAATGATTTGATCAGCTGTAGTTTAAAATTTATGCTGAGTTTTCCTCCTCTAAGCACTTGTTATGTGGTCTCTGTTGCCATCTTGTGGCGGAGCATCAACCGTCTTTGCTCTGCTCAATATGACAGTCTAATGGCCGCCGAATGGCTGAATCTCAGAAATTATTCATACTTAAAATAGGCACGCAGTGGCGCAGTTGGTAGTGCTGTCACCTCGCAGCAAGAAGGTCGCTGGTTTGAGCCTTGGCTGGGTCAGTAGTCATTTCTATTTGGAGTTTGCATGTTCTCCCTTGTTGGTGTGGTTTTTCTCCTGGTGCTCCGGTTTCCCCCACAGTCCAAACACATGCGCTATAGGGGAACTGATCAACTATATTGATCGTAGTGTATGAGTGTTTGTGAAGGAGTGTGTACGGGTGTTTCCCAGTACTGGGTTGCAGCTGGAAGGGCATCCGCTGTGTAAATCATATGCTGGAATAATTGGTGGTTCATTCCGCTGTGGCAACCTCTGATAAATAAAGGGACTAAGCCGAAGAAAAATGACTGAATAAATGGCTTTAAAATAATAAACGGCACATTTTTTGTGTTTTCCAGGAGCAGTTCAGAGTCGCGAGAGCATCGAGGACGTGATTCGATTCGCTCATGATGAACGACTCTTCCTATTGGTCAATGAGGGACGTTTTTAGACTTTTTAAATCTTCTTTGATTAGAGTTGAAGTCAGAATTTTTGGCCCTCCTGTTTATTTTATTTTATAATATTAGATTAGATTTTTTTCAACACACTAGTATTCAGCTTAAAGTGACATTTAAAGGCCTAACTAGGGTAATTAGGGTAAAGTTAGGGTAATTAGGCAAGTCATTGTATAACAGTGTTTTTTTCTGGAGACACTCTAAAGCTAATAGTGCTTAAGGGGGTTGATAGTATTGACTTTAAAATGGCTTTGGTTTTAATATTTTTATTATTAGAAATTTTCGCAGACATTTACTTAAAAATACACTTTTTTTTTTTAACATAATCATAAAACTTGCAGTAAAACAATTAGACAATTGAAACAAAAAATTAACAAAATGATAATACTAATAAAAAACAACAACAAACAAGGGTCATAAAAATAATAATTAAACAAAAAAAATGAATAAATAAGCATGCATTCCCCCAACCAACCCCCACCAGTGCTATCCAACAATAAACGTAGGTACTATAAGGCATGTAAACATATTAATCAAGTTTGTAAAAAGGAAATAAAAGGACACCACATTTTTTCAAATAACAAAACCTCTATCAGGGTATATCTGATTTTTCCAGATGTAATGTACTGGTTTACTCTGTCAGCCATAATGTAAGAGTTGGAACTTCTTTTTTCTTCCAAAACATAAGGATGTCGGCGCCGGTGGTGTAGTGGTTAGTGCGTCGACACATGCACTCCAGTGCTCATGGCCTGAGTTTGATTCCCGTCTCGCAGTCCTATGCTGATCCTTCCCCTCTGTCTGCTCCCCATGCTTTCCTGTCAATACTCAATACTGTCCTCCTGACTATTAAAAAGGTGAAACCCCCCCCCCCAAAAAAAAAAAAAAAACTAAACAAAAAAAACAAAACAAAAGGATGAGTTTTTTTTTTAGGTCAACCCATGTGAAACAAACTGTTGTTGTACCCGTGTAAGTCTCAAAAATTCTTCAGAGGCTCCAAATAAAATTATTATAGGATCTGGCTCATTCGGAGTGTCTAATGTACCTGAAAAAATGTTAAATATTTTATTCTAGAAACTCTGTTATTTGGGAGACAGAAAGAGACAGGTTGGAATCTAAGAGCTGACATTTGTCACACACTGGAGACACTTCTGGTATTATTTTATTCAATTTACACATGAAATTATGAAGCCTATGAAGCACTTTGTGTGAGATTATGGGCTCTATTTTGACGATCCATGTGCAATCAGGGCGTGTCAGAATCCACTTTTTGCTAATTTAAGGACGGGAAAATCCGCTTTGCGCCGTGGCACATGGTCTAACAGGGTTGAGCTTATTTTCTTAATGAGTTATAGGTGTGTTTTGAGAATAAACCAATCAGAGTCTCATCTCCCATTCCCTTTAAGAGTCAGCTGCGTCACGCCATAAGCACATTTGCTATTAACATGACGTAAAGTAAGTGTAACTGTAAAAACTGAACACTTAAAACAGTTAAACAGAGCATCTGCAGCACGTGAATGAGAGATAAGGCCTCCTCTGTCTTTCCTTTCACTTTTGCACTCTTGGATAGGGAAACCTTTACGCACAGAGATCAGTTAGCCTGTAAATAATTAATTTTGTTTTTTAAGCGCAAATATTCGTTTCAAAACTATTTCTAAATTCAGTTCTAATTTCCAGCAAACGAATAAATGAACAATAATAATGAAGTGTGCTCAAAAACCTGAGTTATATCCTAAAACACATGCTGTGCCCCATATGGTCTAAAACCTGACAGGTGGACAAATCTAAGCTTGTTTTTAATAAAACAAATATAAATATGGATATAATAAATAATACTGCTAATAATAATAACATTATACAAAAGCAAATTGTTATGAATGAACTGAAAAAGCCTCCCGAGATGAAGAAGACATAAAAGCAGTGATTTTTCATATTTATGTAGGCTAGAAAATAATGTATTGTAATATTTTAATCCTTTATATTTATATTCTATATCTATTCTTATTATATCCTATATATATCCTTGATATTTTAATTCTTTTTCATATGTAAAGATATTTGCCTATTGCTCTCTTGTGTGTATTAAGCAGTGTGTAAGTGAGGCGCAACTCTGCGCTGGAGTTTAGACCGGGTTTATTTTGGTCTATTGAAAAATCTATTATAGTTTCTCAAAATAGCGACGCGCCAGCAGTGCGCCTCAGAACGCCACTGTTTTAGAGCAGAACGCCTATGGGCGCACATATGAGCACAAATGCATTTGCTATTAAAACAGCGTAGCGCAACGTCTCAAAACCACTCTTGCGCCAAGCTGAAACTACCAAAAGACTATTGCGTCGTGCCAACACAATCTCACGGCAATTCGTAACTTTTTCATTTAGTAGCTACTTTGTACAAATTCGTACGATCTAATTCGTACATTTTAGTACGATTTGCATATCCCCCAATGACGGTTGGGTTTAGGGGTGGGGTTAGGTGCCACGCCTCCTTTTTAAAATCGTACAAATTACGACTGAACTCGTACGAATTCGTACGAATTAGCCACTAAACTGCCAAAACATAAAATACTTACGTTTTCTCGTGAGATCAGGCTGGTTGTGCCACATTGCGTCGGGTGTATGATAGGACCCAATGTCTTGCAATAATGGAACCTTAAAATGGCTTTAAAACAATTAAAAACTGCTTTTATTCTAGCCGAAATAAAACAAATCAGACTTTCTCCAGAAGAACGAATATTATAGGAAATACTGTGAGAAATTCCTGAATCTGTTCAACATCATTTGGGAAATATTGCACAGGAGGGTGAATAATCCTGACTTCAGCTGTACGTAAGTGAGTCCGCTCATGTTGGTTTTCTGTGTTTTCCTACAGGAGTATCAGAACACAGTGTTTGCAGACGGATGTGAGTTTGTGTCCTATAAGCGAGTTCTGGCAGAGATGGATGAGGAGTTTTCACAGAGTGTTCAGCTGGCCTCGCTGCATTCACTGTCCAACGGCATCATGGGAGAGTGAGTTTCATTTATTCATTCATTCATTTTCTTTTCAGCTTAGTCCCTTTATTAATCTGGGGTCGCCACAGCGGAATGAACCGCCAACTTATCCAGCATATGTTTTACGCAGCGGATGCCCTTCCAGCTGCAACCCATCCCTGGGAAACATGCATACACACTCATTCACACTCATACACTACGGACAATTTAGCCTACCCAATTCACCTGTACCGCATGTCTTTGGACTGTGGGGGAAACCGGAGCACCCGGAGGAAACGCACGCCAACACGGGGAGAACATGCAAACTCCACACTGACCCAGCCAAGGTTCAAACCACCGATCTTCTTGCTGTGAGGCGATCGTGCTACCCACTGCGCTACCGTGCTGCCTGAGACAGTGTTTATATCTGCTTTTATCTCCTTAAAGGAGACCCATTATGTGATGTAAAACCAGCTGCAACCCAGTACTGGGAAACACCCATACACACTCGCTCACACACACTCACATGAGCAAACACACACACACACACCCGCGCAAACACACAAACACCATCAGGTATGAGCACACACTTATCCACACACACACACACACACTCACACACACACACACATACTTTCACAGGTACACATGCTCCGAGTATAAACACACACACACACAAACACACACATACAAACACTCAATCACGAACACACACACACACATACAAATACACACTTACACACACACTCAAAAGGATACACGCACATAAGTACAAATACAAACACACACATGCACACACAGGCATACACACACTCAGTCATACACACTCATACACACACAAACATGAACAGGTCCGAAAACACACACATACAGTCGTTTACAGAC